AGGGAACCTAACCTGGGATGGCCTGTCGCTGCTCTACATGATCTCTCATCCTCCTTTGGTTAGCCCAGCCTTCCTTGCATGGAAGCCTAAGAATTCCAAAACTTGGCAAGACGGAACAGCCCCAGTTTGCTATTGTTCCACTGGTCAAAATGATACCAACAATCAAGCCCAGAGTCAGTGTGAAAAAGAATGATCAAATTGGTGACCATTATTTCAATAACCAATTACAGTGTGTAAACAGTTTGATTGATTATATTTTCAAGTGTTATTTATAGGCTTAGAATTATCTTGCCTGTTAAATTTTTAAGACTATCAGTTGGCATTTGAAATGCAGAGAAGCAGACACATAAAATTTGTGCTGTGGTTTGAAATGTCTAAGGAAATTTAATCAATCGAGCTTTAAGTGGTGTTAAATGTTTAAAGAGGATCTAATCTGTTACATCTGTGAGTTCAGAGCACACGAGTCAAAGAACTAGTAAAAGTGATTGTTCTTATTTTATTATTTATTAGATTAATAAATGAACTGGAGAACTTTGTAAGTTAAATTTAAAGGTAAAGAAAAACTAGGATTTAAATTTTGCAACTCAACACCAGTTATTGTAAGAAAAATTTCCAAACAGAAATAAATCCTCTCGGGCTTTAGTAAATCTCAGGTGACACATTTATTCAATAGTTTACTCAAAGCATATTTACTGATCATTTGCTGAGATAGGTGCTATTCTAGATACTGAGAATAGGTGGAAAGTGACTCCCAGTCCTTCCTTCATTGAGATTATACACACAGAGTACACCCAGAAGAAGTCAAATAAATGACATGATTTCAAATAATGAAAAGATGAACATCAATCACAGACTATTTCCTAATCCCATCTTCCTCACTGCCTAGAATCAGTGACCATTTCCTTCTTTCCATAGCCAAAGACACCACAAAGTTCTCCAATTTCTACCTGATTCTCACTCCTGGTATCACTCTATAGCTTCTTTCATAGTCAATAAATACAGTTTTTTTTAAATTTTAGTCTCTACATCTCCTCAGGATGAGGCTCTGTTAGGGAAAAGAAAAAAGTCCAGAGAACATGCAATAAACAAAGCAGCCTGCTATTGTTATACACTTGACAAGTGTTCATGGAGCAGCTTGCACATCCTCAGCTACGCATGTACTGAAGATTGAGAGGAGCACAGAGCTGAGGAAGCCAGAACCATCACTATCAGAGAGGATCCATCTTGTAGGCAAGGCAAGACCTAATTTATCCAACTAGAAACCCATTTTAGAGGTTTTAATGGACTTCATCTTACACTAATGATGCCTTCTACTGGATAAAAGACAGTAACCACATCACAAAGCAGCACAGTAATAACCTAGAAACAGTGCAGAGCCTACAGTGATCAGAACAGTGGTTCAAAATCAGGTTGTGCATTAGAGTCACATGGTAAATTCTTAAAAATACTTAGACTGGGGTTGGGGTTGTGGTTCAGTGGTTGAGCACTTGCCTTGCATGTGTGAGGCACTGAGTTCCATCCTCAGCACCACATACATACATAAATAAATAAATAAATAAATAAATAAATAAATAAAATACTTAGATCATCTGAGTCAAGGGTGGGGATGGACAGTTGTATTTTGTAAATCACTCCAGGTGACTCTAACATGCAGCCAGGCTCAAGAGCCCCAATGGCAATTTCACACTAGAGTACACCTTCCCCAGAGCCCCAGGAGGCTCTTCTGGGGGCATGCCTATATGGATGATTTAGGGCAGGGGTCAGCAAGCTAGGGCCTCTGGTCTACTCCCTCACCACCTAGCAAGCTAAGATGGTTTTTACACTTTTAAATACTTAGGGGAAGCAATGAAAAGGGGACAGGTGAAAATTGTAGATAAATTCAAATTTAAGTGTCCAGATAAATTTATTAGAACATGGCCACTCTCCTTTGTTTATGGATGCTATAAGAGCAGAGTTAAGAAGTAATTGGGACATTTTAGTCTAGCAAAGCCTAGAATATTTACTATCTGATCCCTTCCAGAAAAAGTGTGCTGATCCTGTCTTGGAGGGAATGGGGTTCCAGAGTTTCAGCATCCCTGAGTCCTCTCAGGAATTTACCTGCATGGGAAGTTATCAGCCATCAAGTTGGCAGATGTATATGAAGACTCCTTCCTTTCCCACCCTTGTTTTCATTCTCATCCTTCTCCCAGTTTCAGAAGAAAAGTAGGCCCCTCACCAGCCTGGGGTGTGGAAAGTACCCTAGACATGACACAAAGGAACAATCCCAAATAGTAGGTATGTAGTTGGATAAATGGAATTTTTTTTTTTTTGGCAAGTCAGGTGTGTTTCAAATATTGCCTTTCCAAAACAGCCTCAATCAAATTGTCGCTGCCAAATTATTGTAAGTATTTAGTGAGGGCTATAGATATACATAGTTCAGAGGCACAGCACTCACCTAATATGCAGGAGGCCCTGGGTTCAATTCCAAGCACCACAAAACAACAACAACAAAAAAATTGGTGACTGATGGGTTCCTACTTTTTAGCATGCAACTCAGGAGGGGTTAAAATAATTGAGTAACATGGTTGTGACAAAACTAACGTCATGTTATTGATGTAAGCAAGTTTTTTAAGGTTCACATCTAAATTTACTTATTTATTTATTTTTGGTTGTAGATGAACACAATACCTTTATTTTATTTATTTTTTTATGTGGTGCTGAGGATTAAACCCAGTGCCATAAGTATTAGGCAAGCCTCTACCACTAAGCTACAACCCTAGGCCTTCTAAAATATTTAAATATAAATTTAACTGAATTTTGTCTCATTTGATGAATAAGCAATATTCGTCCAGACACACATGAAAAAATTAGGAAGAAAAAAATCCATTCACTTCATTAAGAGATGAATTTCAGGGCTGGGGTTGTGCTCAGTGGTAGAAAGCTCACCTAGCCTATGTGAGGCACTGGGTTTGATTCTCAGCACCACATAGAAATGAAATAAATTAAATAAATAAAGGTCCATCTATAACTAAAAAGAAATTCTTAAAAAGAGGCAAATTTTAAATAACAGTTTATTTTTATGTTTAATAATTACTTATCAAGTCAGGCATAGTGAAACATAGGTGCCTATAGTTCTATTTACTTGGAAGGCTGAGACAGGACTATCACTTGAGCCAGGAGTTCAAATCCAGCCTGAGCAACATAGAGACCCCCATCTCAAAATAATAATAATATATCAATGTATATATTGTATCTATATTATTTGGCTTAATTATGTACTAATAATTATAATTATGAAATAAGGGTCTCAACACCTCACGGGCTACTGGCCAGAGACCCTCTTGATTCCTACCACTTGGGCCCCTCCCAGGTAGTTCATAGCCTGGCTTCCCTGGGAGGAAAGAGGCTGAGCAATACAGAAGTCATGGTCTTTCTGTAACCTTATTTTGTAAGTGATAGTTCATGTTTTTGCCTTATTCTATTATATTCTATTATTCAAACCAAAGCATTAGGTCCTGCCTATCCTCAAGGGGACTGGTATGTAAAAAGGGGTGAATAAGGGGAAGTGGGACCAACAGGAGCCATCTTAGAAGTTACCTACCACAAATGTCAACTTTTACATAACACTTCTCTATGTCTGTTTAAATTTAGGGTGAATAAAAACTTAGGGCCTGCCAGAAGTGAGGAAAGGGTGAGGAGTGCTTTGGATAGGGAGAAAAGCCACCATCCCAGATCTGGAAGCTTTATCCAAACAAATGGAAAATACAGAGAAAAATTAAGTGACCAGGCAGAAAGTAAGGATCCAGGCCAGGAGGGAGTGGCAGGAATCCAGCGAAGGAACCCCTGACTCATCTGAGATATCCTAGAGGGACCGAGAGAAGATGCAAAGGGCACACTTTGTATAGAGTGGATATTGAAAAACGGACACTATTCCAGATGGGCCGTGATTTAGGATGGTTCGACTTATGGTTTATGATTTTTCGACTTTATGGTGGTGCAAAAAAATTATCTGCATTCACTAGAAACCGTACTTTGAATTTGGAATTTTGATCATTCCCAGGTAGCCATAGGCAGTCAGAAACTGGGATATGCTGGGCAGCCAGCAGAGCACCTCTTAATCAATCACCCGTCCTCGAAGGCGAGCAACTACAATAATAAGCTAGGGGTACTAAATGCATTTTGCTTAGGATATTTTCAACTTACAGTGGATTTACTGGGATCAATTTCATCGTCGCTCGAGGAACATCTGCACATGTAATTTTAGCTGCGGACAGTCCTTCAGTAGAGATGGAATAAACCTCTTAGGCAATACGCACAATTGGGCGCTATGGAAACACTGATTGGAGACAGGATGCCTACCTCAAGGAGAGCAATCTCCCAGAGTTCCCACCAGCAGGCTGGGAAATGACTGCTCTAAACTCCTTCCCCAGCCTGGAGCTGTCTCTCACTACCCTGAAAAAGGGCTTGGGGAAGGAAATCTGAGAGACTGCAGAACGAGTGAGAAAAAACTGAGAGGTGGAGGGGAAAATGAAAAGGAATAGGGGCTACGAAAAACAACTTCCCCCTGTCTCAAAAGATAAAAAGGGATGAGGATGTGGCTCAGTGGTTAAACGTCCCTGGGTTCAATCTCCAGTACAAAAAAAAAAAAAAGGAAAAATTAAAAGAAAAGAAAATCGAGTTCCTTGAATCCTGAGTTGGGGCTGGACGCAAGTAACTAAGTAGAGAAAGAAGTGTGGAGGAGGAGGATTAAAATCTAATTTGACGGCTTGATGATGAGGACAGAGACTGAGTTTGGGAGTGAATGAAGGCAGGAGAACAAGTGACCGCTCGCCCTGCGGAATCGAGGCTGCAGGTGAGGCAGCGGAGCAGAGCCGGGGCAGGAGAGTTCGGAGGCCAAGCGACTGGGACTCTGTGGAAAGTTGGGCCAAGAGAGGGACCGCCCCCGCCCAAGCCCCGCCCCTTCAGCGAGGCCCGCCCCTCCCAAGCGCGGGTTGAAAGCCGGAAGCTGGCTAAGTACCGCGTACTGCTTCACCGTAACTAAAAGATTCAGGGCGTTTCCGTGTGCGCCCCCAGTCCTGGGCCGCGAGACCTCGCCACCGTGACGCGGCCATGGGGGCTCTGCCCCGCTGGCCGCCCGTGGTTCTTGGACTCCCCATGGGGCTGCTTCTCCTGTATGTGAGCGCTCTGGCCCCGGTTCGCGCCTCCTTGCGGCTGTTGGACCACCCGGCACCGGTCTGTTCTCAGCAGGTGAGACCCCGAAGCGCGCTAGAGACGCGGACACGGCGAGAATACTGCGGGGGCGAGGGCAAGCAGAGGCTGGCGGCCCGGAACTACCGCCAGGGGTAGGACGTGAAATCTGCGTTGGGGGGTCTCATTAGGATACAGGGCGTGGACAAAAAGATCGCGGCGCTCTCGGAGTGGTGGGAGTTGCGGTATGGACGCGGGGGAAGTGGGAGTTGGATGGAAAAAGGTTGCCCGGCGCGTGTTGCACAACCCAACTCGCCGTCGTGAGCTGGAGGAGGGAGCGAAGACTCCGCCCGGGCCAAAGTTTGGGGAAGGAGACCCAGGCGCGCGGCCGGGTCTGGGAGGCTGGCAGGACTAGCTGGAAACCGGCTGCGGTAAAGGGAACGTGTCAGGGGCCAAGATGAGTCTGGACTGGACTCTATGCGGTGCGCTCTACACATATCCTCTACCCGGTAGCACAGCGTGACCCCGGGAGGCTGGAGGTGGCGCTTGAAATTTTCCCCTTTAGCTGGTGCACTAAAGCCTCCAAGGAGCCGGGAGTAGAGGACGAGGACTGACCTCAACTCCGCTTCTAGGGGACTTGGCAAGTAGAGCATCCCTGGTGAGCAGGGATGGCTTACAGGACTACAGGAGCACCAAGCAGAGAAACGCGGCATGACCATCTGCGGAGGAGCAGAGCCTTGAGTTTGTTTTTTGTTTTTGTTTTTTTTTGGGGGGGTTTTTTTTTGAGATGAGGCCTCGCTGTGTTGCCCAGGCTGGCTTTGAACTCCTGGACTCAAGCAGTCCTCTTGCCTCAGTCTCCCACGTGACTGGAACCTCAGGGGCGCGCCATGCAGATGATTCTTAAGACACTGTTCTTCCCACTACTACCTCTGCCACCAACACTCAGATCTGGGAACAGGGTGGGCACGCTGTGGGATGTAGGCAGATTTGTGATTGTCAAGGAGGATTCCCACACACATATCCCCATCTACCTGTCAGGTAGTTGCCTTGCAATGCAACTTTGACCTTTAAGAAAAAAATGAAACAGCAAAACAGATGCCCCCGCCTCCTCAAAATACACTTCCTTTCTCCCTTCCATGCTCTTTCCTCCCTGTTCTGGTTTCTCAGCTACTGCCCCCCCCAAACCATCCCCCACGTGCCCCTTACTGCACCACCATTGACCCCAGGGAATAATATTCAGTGTCTGAGTCAGAGGATGTGAAACAAAGGGATATTTCTCTTTAATATTGTAGAAGATTTACCAAAAGAGGGTGGAGAATGCCTGTTTTACAGAAAAAAAAAAAAAAGTTTTAAATGTAACCAATGTTGGGAAATGTCCTTTTGATTTCTACTGTTGGCCAAAACAGTAGACTCAAAAGTTCATCGGGTCCTTCCTGCAGATTGTGTCCCAACATGGAGGATTTGGTGTTCCTTTGTAGACGGCCATTTGTCAGGTACCTGCCAAATACAAAGTACTGTGCTAGGAACTGAACCTGTAAAGAAACAATCCTGGGCCTGATGCAGTGGCACACGCCTGTAATCCCAGCTGTGTAGAAGTCTGAGGCAGGAGTTCAAATCCAGCCTCAGCAATGGCAAGGCACTGAGCAACTCAGAGAGATGCTGTTCTAAATAAAATACAAAAATAGGGTTGGGGATGTGGCTCAGTGTGGAGTGCCCCTGAGTCCGATCCCCAGCACCCACTCCCAAAAGAAAGAAACACTCCTGTGTCCAGGGCTTAAAATCGTCTAGGAGGATTGTTGCTGTCTTAGAAGGCAACCTATAGCAAGCACATTTTGCACAACTGTAAGCATACCAAAGACCAGAGAAAGGAAAAATTACTTCCAGCTGGGCTAGTCCTTTTGAAAAGACATTTTGGCATCCCTGAGAGCTGGTGGGAACCTCCAAGAGGTTGGTTGGAGTATTCCAGGTGATAAAAGGGCCAGAGCCAAGGTCCTTAGGTAAATAGTGTGGCTGGAGTGGAGGGTCTGTGGAGCAGGAAAGTGTGAAAGGAAGTTCGAAGGGAGATAGGGATGTGATATGGGCTGGGCTAAAAGGGTTTTTTATTTATTTATTTTATGTGGTGCTGAGGATTGGACTCAGGGCCTCCCACATGCAAAGCGAGCGCTCTACTGCTGAGACACAACCCCAGCCCCCAGCCCCCACCAGCCTTTTTAAAGATAAGCTCTCACTGAGTTGCTTAGGGCCTCACTAAATTGCTGAGACTATCTTTGAACTCACAATCCTCCTTCCTCACCCTCCCAAGCCCCTGGGATTACAGACATGCCCACCGGCCTGGCACTAAAAGGGTTTTAGTCGTTGTTTTGTTTTGCATTAGTGATCAAACCCAAGGCCTTGCCTGATTCCAGAGAAGACTGGAGAGAAATGCTCATGGCCAGATTTGTCCATTTTCTTCCTTCCTCTTCCTCTCTACCTGCTCTTGGCTCACAGACAACTCATCTCCCTAGACAGCTTCCCTGTCTGTTGACTAGTCATTTTAGAAGAAGCTTCAGGTTGGCACAGTGGTACACATCCAGCTACTCTAGAGGCAGAGGCAGGAGGGTTGAGACCAACCTGGCAAAGTTCTGAAAAAGTCTTAGAATTTTAAAAAAGGGCTGGGAGAGTAACTCAGCTGTAGAATGCTTAAAGCCTTGGGTTTCATTCCCTGTACTAAGCAAAAGGAAAAACAAAAAACCACACCCTTCAAATTCTGACCCTCCCCCGAAGTTTTAGTGTATATAGCATGATATAGTGATGGGAGAGAAAGCCACAAACCTGAATTTACATCCCAACATCACTTAGAGTTTCTGTAACCTTGGGCAATTTAGGCTGGATCTGGGTTCCCTCATTTCCACAATGTAAGGAGTGGGTGACCACCTCAAAGTGAGCCACATCATTTTCCAGAATATGAATGCCCAACAAAACCCCGGTTGGACTTAGTCCTAGATGACTCCATCCTAAAATGGGAAGGAGGCTTCTGCATGCCTTTTCTTCTCCTAGCTCAAATGCAAGCACAGGATGTGGAGACTTGACAAATATGCATTGAGTGAAAGAACAAAAGAATGAGCCCAAGGAAGGAGTTATTAGCTTTGCTTGAAAAGCAGCCATAAACTGAGACCAGCCCCAGCACTGGTTCTGTCTGCCTGGATTTAGCACCTCAAAACCCTGATGACTGATTTCCCCACAGAAACCAGTCCTAGAGACACCATAAGTAATTGCATTTCCCTCTTTGGCTGGCCATCCCCCTGCCTGGGCTTTCTTGCAGGTTTCCCAAGACTGTCAGACTGAGGAAAGCCCATAAGCAAAGACAGTGACAACTTGGAGTTGGTCAGTAAGAACGTTAAACTCAGTTTCATAGACAGGATATACATTTCGTTAACAAGTTATTTTTTCCTGAACACTTGTGGTTTTCACTTGTGGTGATAGAATGACTGTTTGGTTTAACCCTTTTATCCTCTGGTTGCCAAAAGCCACTTTCAGTTCTACTGCTCTTCCAGACAGTAAAAAGTTGTGTTCTGTGGACACGCTTGCATAGTGTGGACACGCTTGCATAGTGTAGACACTGGAGCAGGCAGGACTGGGGACACTGTATGTGGTAAAACCAGCAATTAGCAAGTCCTGATTACCATGCCTGACTTCTCACCCTGGCTGCTTGCTGCTTTTGCCAGACTAATCTCCCATCAGGAGACAGTGACATCAGTTAGCATCCAGCAAACAGAAGCCTGCATCTTAGAGTAAAAAGACCTGGGCCGGATCCAGTCAAGCTTTCCCTATCACCGGTGCCAGTCACCCCAGTGTTAGGAGCCAGTGTCCTCATAAAAGGAGTGATCCTTGCCTCATAGGTTATAGGAGAGCTTTCACATGCCATATCACTCACAGATGAAAGCACCAGGCTGGGCACACTGTGGCACTGCACCAATGTTCACCTGGAGCTTGGTACCAGGAACTGTGTTGGCACATATGCTTTCTTCCAGTACTCATGACAACCTTTGAGATTGGCAGTGCTAACCTGCTTTAGAGAGGCCAGTTACTCTTTTCCAGGCCAACCATCAAGTGCTTGTGGAGCTGAGCAGGACCCTGTGTACAACTTCAAAGCCCACTTTTCTGAATCAGGCACCCAGTAATGTTCATTGAATGCCCAGAGTTAGTGCAATCTTTCATTTCTTCTTTTTAGTCTTCCCACTGTGGCTAGGTCTTCTCGTTTTTCTTCTTCCTTTTTTTTTTTTTAATATGCTATGGATTGAACTCAGGGCCTATAGAGCACACTAGGCAAGTGCTCTACCACTGAGCTATAACCCTAACCCCAAGATAAGTTTGAAGTAAAGAAATTTGGCCAGGCACAGTGGCACATGCCTGTAATCCCAACAACTCAGGAGGCTGAGGCAGGAGGATCTCAAGTTCAAATCCAGTCTCAGCAATTTAGCAAGGCCATGTCTCAAAATAAAAAATAAAATGGGCTGGGGATATAGCTCAGTGGTTAAGTGCCCCTAGGTTCAAGCTCTGATACAAAAAGAAAAATTAAGGGTAAAGAATTTGTTAGAACAAGATCTTAGTATCCAAAAATAATCCTTAGTATTAATTTTATGTTATTAAAAATGTTATATTAATATAAATTCTGTGTTGAAATTCTAAGGGAAAATATTCACTATTTCTTTCCCTAAATTAATGTTTTTATCTTTTTTTCCCCCCTGGGCATTGAAACCAGGGCACTTTACCACTGAGCTGCATCCCCAACCCTTTTTGTTATCTTATTCTTTTTGTTTTATTTTGAGACAGGGTCTCACTAAGTTGCTCACACTGGCCTCTAACTTCAATCCTGTCTCATCCTCCCAAGTCACAGGTGTGTACTACTGGGCCCAGCTGTTTACCTCATTTTTCAATCTTTTTTCTTTTTTAACAACATTTTTTAAAATTTATTTTTAGTTGTAGTTGGACATAATACCTTTATTCTGTTTATTTTTATTTTTTTATGTGATGCTGAGGATCGAACCCAGGGCCTCGCACATATGCTAGGCAAGTGCTCTACTGCTGAGCCACAACCCCAGCCCCAACAACTTTTCTTTCAATGAATTAATTTCAGACGAGGTGTTGCTAAGTTGTCCAGGCTGACCTTGAACTTGTGATCTTCCTGCTCACCCTTCCCAGTGCCTGTGATTACAGTCATGTGCCACCATGTTGGATTCATTTTTCAACCTTTTTATCTGTTTAAAGCAACATCATAGAAAAACTTCTTTTAAAACTGGTACTAAGATGTTTAAAACAAAAACTGCAAATCCCTGCCTCACATCTAACCAGCTCCCCAAGGGCAATTGCTTAAAATTCCTTACTTATTTCCTCTAACGTTTGTCTCCATATTCCTAAATGTACTATGTTATTCATTCTTAATTTGTCAATTGTAGATATTATCTATTTTCGTAGATGAGAATTACATTACCCTCTTCCCTCCACTTCTCTTTGCCATTTTATATTATATCACAATTTAGTTAAATTGGTGTTTATTAAACAAGTAAGCAGTTTTCTCTGCAGAGCAGATTTGTGTCCTTTTGATTATATTTCTTTTTTTGATAAGTTTATTTCCACCTATTCCTCTGAGATGATCATTGCTTTAATTTTTCACTTGTATAATTTTCCATGTAACTAGTCTTGGTTTTTTCTATCAGATTTTTCTCATTGTATTTTCCTTCCAATCATCAAATATTCCATCAATTCCATTTTCCCTTCCCCCAGAGAACTGTCCCAGAGCCCTCTGTCCACCAGCCCCGACCTGAACTGATTCCTCTGTGAACCTATAACATAGCTCTGATACCAGACATCCATCATGGTCAAATCTGCCAACTCCTGGATCCTGTGTCTTCCTGCTTGAGGTCATTCATACATCTCCTGGAGCATATGCTCCTGCAATTTTCTAAGTTTATGAGGGACAGATATAAATATATAATAAACTATGTACATATGTATGTATATGTGTGTGTGTATATATATATATATATATATATATATATATATATATTTTTTTTTTTTTTTTTTTAGTCTTTCCTGAAAATATCTTTATTCTACTCTCACCTCTTTTTGATAGTTTGGCTGGATATAAGTAGTCTAAGAATTATTTTCCTTCAGCATATTGAAGACATAGCTTTATTGCCTTCAAGCAAACAGTACAGATGCTAACAAAGCCAATGCCATTGCGTTTCCTGCTCTTTCTAAGATATTTCACCTGTTTTTTTCTTTCTGGAAACTTTTAAAATCTCCTTTTTATTATGGTATTATAGTGTTTTGTGGTATTTGGGCCTTGGTCTGTATCTTTTTTCTTCATTTGCTATATAGGTCATTGGAGCTTTTTAATTTGGCAACATGAGTTCTTCAGCTCTAGAATGTCTTCTTCTTTCTTTTTTCTTAATGATTTCTTCCCATTTATTTATTTTTTAGTTGTTGACGGACCTTTATTTGATTAATGTATTTATATGCAGTGCTGAGAATCGAACATAGTGCCTCACACATACTAGGCAAGCACCCTACCACTGAGCCACAACCCAGCACCCCCACACACTTTTATTTATTCACTTTTTCATAATCCAGACTAATTGTATCTTATGTTCCCTGAGTTAATTCTCTAATGTTCGTGTTTCTTCTAGTTTTGTTTGTATTTGTTCTAGTTTCAGAGAAATTTCCTTGATTTTTATAGCCCAACCCTTTGGTCTTTATTCTTTCTATTTTTTAGTTGTTGATGGACTTTTACTTCATTTATTTATTTTCATTTGGGGTGCTGAGACTCGAACCCAGTGCCTCACACATGCTAGGCAAGCGCTCAACCACTGAGCCACAATCCAAGCCCTGGTTTTTATTGTTGAAGTTCGTTTTTTTAGTCTCTGCTTACTTTCTCACAATATCCTGTCCTTGTCTTATGAATGAAATGTCGCCTCTTCTCTCTTTGGAGCTATAATGGTTTTATTTGTTTTAATTTTATTCTGTTTGAAGCATTGTCTTATTTCCTCCAGGAGCATTATTTAAAATTTTGTTTTGATCTATTTTTATACAGGAAACCCATCTCAATTATTGGATACTCCTTGGCTGTCTGAGAATATTTTAAGGAAGATATTAGCTCAGTGGTAGAAGAAAGCTCCTGGATTCAAATCCCAGTACCACCAAAAAAAAAAAAAAAAAAAAAAAAAAATCCCATTATAGTTTTCATATGGTTTGAGAAGAACTTAGAATATGTACATAGTTCATGCACTGTGACCTTTAAAGGAATTTTGTAGCTGCATTTTGCTTATATGCAGGTTTTTCTGTTTTGATTAAATCTTTTCCACCTCAAATTTCTTCTCTTTCTCTTTATCCCTTTTACCCTCAATAACCAGTATGTTAACAGCTGATATAGATTTTTCCATGTTTTTCTATGTTCATATAATCATGCTCAACCATATGTAAATATATTAGGAGGCTTTTTCATCATTTATTTCTATAGAAAATGGGATTAAAGTACAAAAAGTTCTTTGCGACATATTTTCCTCACTCAACAACACAGCTATCTCTCTCAGTTATAGATATCTGTGTAACTAATTCTCCTTAATATTTACACAATATTCCCTAGGAGATAGCAATCTATTCAAACAGTTCCATTTCAATGGATATTTAGATTTAAACTAGATCTTTCTTTACTCAGCCATTCTTCATTAATGAACATTCTGTACCACAGGAAAAAAAAGGAAAAGTTACCCTTTTTTAAAAAACTAGTGTAAGCTTAATTCTCAAACTTGATAAATCTTATACAGAAGAAGAAAGCTATGGGCCAGTTTCACTTATGAATATAGTTAGAGGCAATTCTAAATAATGTATTAGCAAATTTAATATAGCAGAATAACAGAATAATATACCATAATCTGGTATAATTTATTCTAGGAGTAGAAAGTTTGATCCATTATAGCAAATCATCAGTATAATCCATTATATCAGTAATTTGAAGGAGAAAATGTATGAAGCTATGTTCATAAATGCTGGAGAGTATTTGGTAAGCTTTTGGGATGCTAGCTGAGGATGAAGCTCAGTTGGTAGCATGCTTGCCTCGCATGCACAAGGCCCTGGGTTCAATCCCCACACCAAAGGCGGGAAAAGATTCAGGGATGCTCTTAAGAAAAGCTACAGGCATAATAGTAATAGAAGGGAAATACTGGGGCTGAGATTGTGGCTCAGTGGTAGAGTGCTCATCTAGCACGTATGAGGCCTTGGGTTCGATCCTCAGCACCACATAAAAATAAATAAACAAAATTTTAAAAAAGAAGGGAAATACTTATACATAGCAATAACTATCGAAAAGCAAGACCAAACAGTAGCTCAGTATGTGACATACCAAGCTATTTTCATCATTCTCAGGACTAGAGGAGGATACCCACCAGCACCATTGTCAGTCAGCTGTTTTCAGACCTTCCCACTTCCTCTTGGTCATCATGGGCATCATTTTGCCATGGTTTTTAAGAAGCTGCCAGTGGATAAAATGGAATTAATTCCAAATGGAGTATCCATCTGCCTTTTCTAGAGGAGCTCCCCATATGAAGATGATTGAACCAGTTTCTTATCCTCCAAGCCTCCATCCTAGGAGTTTCAAGTGGGAGGACAAAGGACAGGGTCCTGGGAGTTAATCTTACCATTCAGAAAAAAGCAGGCATTTGTCAGAGGGAGAGCAGAGGACGCATGCTGGCCTCTGCTGAATTTGAGGAGCACCTCAAAGGCTGTGATGCAAGTCCAGGACCAGCAGCTGGGAATTAATACTAGAAGCTGCACCGAGTGCAGGGTCTAGACCCCAAGAGCATGTGCACTGGTGTCCTAAAGAAGAGCACATCAGAGTCAATCTGGAATGTGTCCAGACTGATCCCTATGTCCACTTCATGTATGAGCCCCAGGGGCTCATCTGCTCCCTCCCAGGCCTCAGCCCTGCTCTCTGCTCCTTCTTAAGAGAAGCAAGTGCCAACCCAAATAACAAGGAATAATACACCATAATCTGGTATAATTTATTCTAGGAGTGCAAAGTTTGATCCATTATAGCAAATCTTGCACACATACCAAACTACTTTGTTGGTTTTAAATGTGTGCTTTTGATCTGCTTCAGCCCAGAATGAGTTTGGTCCATGTGAGCAGCTAGAAGAACTCAAAGTACCTGAGCCTGAGTTCCAGGGTCTTCCCTTCTGCACTGCCAAAACTGAACACGTAGAAGTCACCCCTCAGAAGAATGGTTTTATATTTTGAGCTCTCCTTCAGGCCCTAAGTTGGATCCCAAGCCCCCGACATTTCTAGAAAGTGTATAAGGACTTAGGTGGATTTCCCATAACTGATCTGCTTCAGGACTCATGATTTGGCTCTCATCCCTCCCACCTTTTAACCTTTGGTTATCCAGACCAAAGGTTGGAAGCCTCAAGAGATTTGGAGACCTTTTCACGATGGTGCCCCAAGACAAACCTCTCAGTGTCTTTTTTTTTTTTTAATATTTACTCTTAAGCTTTAGGTGGATACAATATCTTTATTTTACATTTGTGTGGTGCTGAGGATTGAACCTGGTGCCTTGTGCATGCTAGGCGAGCGCTCTACCACTGAACCACAACCCCAGCCCCTCTCAGTGTCTTTTAAAGTTGTAAAGTTCCCAGCTTCTAACAGTTACTTATAAAATCTCCACTTCCATTTTGCCATCTATCATGCCCCTTCCCCTTGGTTGGTCAGGATGAAAGAAGGGTGGGGAAAGACCTCCCAGAGAGATCCCCAAATGTGGAAAGGGAGAGCTGTGTAAGTTTTATCCCCACAAATGAGCTTGGGAAGGTGTCTGGAGTCCAGCAGTGCATGGGTTAAGTTCTTTCTCAGCTATAATTACTACCTTCTTTCTTTCCACAGGAGCTAGACTGCAGAGTCAAGAACAGTAAGTCCTCTTTTTTTTTATTCTTCTTGTTGCTTTGTTAATACTGTGATTGGCTTGTGCTGATTTCTGGCAGCATATCTGCAGCCCCTCTACAAGTTCAGGCTGTAGTAATCCCAAACGTGTCCCAGGTGTGGGCACCTGTGCTTCGTATGGAGAACATTTACATGTAGAAGTCGGGTAGTGTCATTTAGATTTTGAAAGTATTCTCTCAAGTGCTGCCCTAGTGTACCTTTAAGACAATTTGATCTGCCACGGCTCTTACTGTAAAGTGAGACATCTGTGGTGTTGGTTGTTTTGTTTTTTGGTGCTGGGCATGGAACCCAGGGCCTCACATAAGCTGGTCAAGCCCTCTACCACTGAGCCACATCCCCAGCTGCTTGGCTTGGTTTCATTCAAGGGTGAGGCACATACTTCTTGTGTCTGTGCTGATTAGGGACCCCAACATGTAAAAATCAGCTCTTACCACTGCCCATGATCCATTTCCAACCCCTGCTTCTACTCAAAACTCATCTCCCTAAATTGCCCTTTAGACTCAGAGCTTTGTGGTTACCCTAGACCAGCCTTAGAAAAGAGCAATCGGACAGTGGGGCTGAGGACCCCAGGAGGGTCACAACTGGAGGGTTGCAAGCTGGAAGGTTGCAGGCCCTAAACCTTTCAGGAACTAGCTCTCTGGGCCTCTTGGGGATAGGAAAGGTGCCATCTCTGATTGTTGCTTCTCCCTGGCTACCAGGTACTTGCCTGGATGACAGCTGGATCCACCCTCGGAACCTGACTCCCTCCTCCCCAAAACACATTGAGATCCAGCTGCGTCTTGCCAGAACCCAGCACGGAGACCTGGTCCCTGTGGTGCACATTGAATGGACACTACAGACAGATGGTGAGTGGGCATGTCAGCCAGGCCCTGGGGTTCCACCACGTCCAAGTGAATCCACAGCTAGACATCGCCTCCCATTCAGACTCAGAATTAGGCTCTGGTCCTGTGCTCAGACTTGAAGGCTGCAATTCAGTGCTGGAAGGATCCATCAATCGTTCTGCCAATACCTTTTCAGTGTTTTAGAGGCGAGCCCACAGCAAAATCCTGTCATCACACTATCCTTCATGGAAGACCTAAAATTTTTATTACCCTGGGCAAGTTGTTAATTTTATGAAAAATTCCAGATGTTTACTGGAAAAATAGTAGCACATTTGCCAGCACTTTTTCCCTTAACTTAGGGGCCAACACTTATTAAAACATCCCCTAAACCTATTCAGAGTTAGAGTCTGATTACAGATTTGGGAAGACTGGGGGCTAAATAGAGCCAACCCTGGTGAACAGGTCTGGGGTTGGTTCCCTCTGAGTCCCCAGCCCACAGGCTCGCTGCTCCTTCTCTGAAAGAATGGCGGAAATTGCTGCTGTGAGACGCAAGTTTGCACAGCCTCTGCTGCTGGTCTGGTGTAAAGTGCCACTTATCCTCACCTAGCTGGGTGGCAGCTGTCTGAAAGGCGGTAGGCTGAGGCAGAGAGTGAGCTGAAAGGAACAGGAAGTGGGGGGTTAGGCGAGATGGGCAGGTTTTCCTTTAGGAGTGAGCAAGCCTAGCAGATAGGGAAGTGGCACACCCAGTGGTTTATGCAGCTGCATCTGTTTGTCTCCTCTCCTCCCTCTGACCTTTAGCCAGCATCCTGTTCCTTGAAGGTGTAGAGCTGTCTGTCCTGCAGCTGAACACCAATGAACGTTTGTGTGTTGAGCTTGAGTTTCTGTCCCAACTGAACCATCACCGCAAGCGGGTAAGAAGACAGCTCCTGATCGGATTGTGTTCTTCTGATGACACCAGTGTGACTTGTCCCCATATTGGACCCTAACTTAGAGTAATAAGAAGGTGCTGGAGGGTCTGAGGAATTCAAGATGGCTGCTCCCAGAGAACGTAGTGTCTGCTGTGAGCCATAGGTGGGGGGGGGGGGCACAGCCTAATATTCCCACCCTTGCTTTTTCCTCACATTTTACCTACCTATTCATTCTCCTCCTCTGTTCCCTATCCCCCACCCCAGTATGCCGGGAATTAAACTCAGGCCTCCTGCAAAATGCTCTGCCACTGAACTACCCCAGGCCCTTTGCTATTCATTCTTAAGGAAATTGAATTGGAAGACCACTTCCACAGCTCTACCTCCTGGGTCTGTAACTTGAATTGATCCAGGGCCTGCCTCCAAGAGGAATAACTCCCCAGGCCAAAGACCTGCTATGGGTGGGGTGTGGGTGTGAGTGTTAACAGTTGGGTCTGGTTTTGCTTTTCACAGCTGGAGGATAAAATGTTGGTCTTGTGTAGTTAGTTGAAAGCAGCCGCTCCCAAAGCTGTTCCCTGGACCATCAGCAACCCTTGGGAACTTGTTAGAAATGCGTGTTCTCTGGCCCCATCCCAGACCTCCTGGAAAAAAATCTCTGAGGGTGGGGCCCAGCAGTTGGTGTTTAAGGACCCTCTGTCTAACCTGATATAGGTGCTAGTTTGAAAAACTACTGGTTTAAATTTGCAGATGATTGCTTTAAAACAAATTAGATCTGCCAAAGACATAAGCACCGAAGGCAGAGCCCCCCTCAATGTTAAGTGAGGACCCCAAACTTGGCTGCTATGTGGAGGGCGAGGACCTGGTGCCTTGATCTACTTAGAAGCAAAGGACCCCCCCAGCCCCCTCCACCAGGTCATTAGAATGGGGTTTACTCTGGAGGCTGAGGTGGAGCATCACCTAGGCCGGGAGTGTGAGGGCAGCCTGGGCAATGCAGCAAGGCCCTATCTCTCAAAATTTTTTTAAAAAAGGAGTTGGATTCTATATCTGTACTATCTGGAAGGTAGCTCAGTACAAACGTATCTCACTGCAGACCCAGGGTGAGAGGGATCTCTAGCTCTCCCTCTGCTCTTATGTGCTTCAGAACATTCTCCACAGAGACCCCCCACTATGCCTTGTAAGAGGAAGAGTCAGTGAACAGTATATAGCTGCCTCTTGTGTTCCAGGTCCAATAGCCTCAAGCCCTCCAGCTCAGGTCACTTACGCCCATTGTTCGGGAATTCCAGAGAGCTGATGGGAGGGGGAGGGCTGCTTCCACTGTCCACCAGATGTTCTGCAGGGGCTTCTGTTCTGTTCTGTTTGGGTGCCAGGGGTGGAACCCAGGGCCTTGTGCTTGCTGAGCTCTGAGCTCCTGCTCTACCACTGAGCCACACCCCAGCCTCTGCCCTCCTCCTCTGCATTTGACAAGGCTCTCTACTGATGAGGCCAGCCGAGGTTTCTTAAAGCAGGCAGGAAAGACCAGAGAAAAACAGAGGAAGACACTGTGCCTCCAATTTCAGATTCTGCTGTGGTAGTTGTTTTATTCCTACTTCTGACTGGTTTGGGGGGAAGGTAGGGATGGGATCCTGTGGGCCCAGATGGACGACAGGTGTGTGTGACCCACCCAACCTCCCCTCCTCCCTTCTCTTCAGTGGCGTTTTGCCTTCAGCCACTTTGTGGTAGAACCCGGCCAGGAGTACGAGGTGACTGTTCACCACCTGCCCAAGCCCATCCCTGACGGGGACCCAAACCACCTGTCCAAGAAGCTCCTTGTGCCAGGTAAGAGCCTCCTCCTAAGCCATTTCCTCCATCATTCAACTCTGGGATGAGAAGCTGGCAGCAGGGGCAGACAGCAGCCTCCCTGCTGCGTTCAACCACGGCTTATCGCCAGCATGTGGTACCCACAGAAAGAATAGGCGCCCGGGTCTGGGAGCTCCTCAGCGTGAGGCTCAGCCTCCACCCCTTGAAGGCAGCCCCTTCTTAATTGGCCAACACTGGATATGGGCCCAGGATCCCAGGAGTGTGATGGGAATAAGAGCCCTTCCCTCTATCCAGAGAACTAGCTGGAGCCCAGAAAATGTCAGGAAGATAAGTCACGCTGGGAAGAGCGGTGGCTCCTGCTCTCAGCCTAGTTCCAGTCACATTCTTCATTCCCGCCCCCCCACACACACACCCTGTCTGCATTTGTCCCACCCATCTCCATTATCCCACTTTCTTCTCTCCCCTCACTGACCCATGCTGCCTGGGATCACTGCCAAGTCTATCTTCTAAAGCATACTGGACACCTTCTATCTATGTCACCTTCTATACCTCTGTCCTCCCCTGAATCTCAGCCATTTCCTACATTTCTTGTTCAAAGCCAGGTACATCTAGAACCTCAGCCCACTGAGGACAAGGTCTGAGTCTTCCACACTTCTGTACTGTTCAGAACCTAATAAATCTCCTTGTTTATGTAGCTGGTTAGGAAATGCTTGTTGGTTTTTGATGCTGAGGATCTCAGCCAGGGCCTTGCATGCTAGGCAAGCACACCCCACAGCACTCTACCCCAAGCCCAGGAAATACTTAAGGATGGTGATGACCTTCTTCTTATACACACACACACACCAATGAATCAGTAAGATTCATTGTTCTCTGACGTGTTATTGCATTTTCTAGGTTTGCTTTTAGTGGGCTCTTCTACTGCAGTGTCATCTCCAGAGGGCAGGACTTTGTTTTACTCACTATGGTGTGTTTAGTGCCCAATGCCCAGGACAGTGCAAGTCTCAATAGGTCTTTGTTGAATGAGTAAATCTCCCCACCCCCTCTCCTGTTCCTAAAGTAGACTGACTCATCCTGTCCCTCTAAGGTAGTTCAAACTTGCCACCTGTCTTTTTAAACCAAAGGAAAAGATTATAATCAAGGAGATTAGGGAAGACGGATGCTTTAGTCAGCTTTTTTGCCACTCTGACTAAAAGACCTGACAAAAACAATTTAGAGGAGGAAAAGTTTATTTGGGGGCTCACAGTTTAAGAGATTCCATCCATAGATGGCTGACTGCATTCCTCAGGGCCCAAGGTAAGGCAGGACATCATGGCAAAGAGTACGACAAAGGAAAGTAGCTAGACACATGGTACCCAGGAAGCAGAGAGAGGTCTCCTCATGACAAAATATAAACCACAAAGGTATACCCCCAGTGCCCCACTCCTCTAGCCACACCCTGATTTTGGTTCCCATCCAGTTAATCCTTATGGGGGAGGAGGGGATTGATTCACTGATTGGGTTAAGGCTCTCATAGCACAATAATTTCACCTCTTAATCTTCTTGTATTGTCTCACACATGACTTTTAGGGGACACCTCATATCTAAACCATAATAAGGGACCAAGAATATCACTATTGGGGACTGGGGTTGTGGCTCAGAGGTAGAGCACTCGCCTAGCATGCGTGAGGCACTGGGTTCAGCACCACATAAAAATAAAACAAAGGTATTGTGTCTACCTACAACTAAAAAATAAATATTTAAAAAAAAGAATATCAGTGTTGGGCAGTGATCCTCAGTGTGGTCTGTGGACCCAGCAGCATCAACAGATTGTCTGGGAACTTGTTAGAAATGCAGATTCTCAGCACCCACACAGATCTGCTGAATGAGGAACTAGTGATGATGATGTCCACAAAAGTTTGAGAAACTGCTGTGGGGACCAAAGTACTTCTCAGCCTATAAAAAGGCAGAGGCATCTGTGGGCCAGGAAGCTCCGGGTGGGGAGAGAAAGAACTAGAAGGAGCAAGACTGTGGCTACCCAAAGTGCGCTCAGGAGGCATATACTAGAATCAGGAAGGTTCTCTGAGAGAGAAGGGCTGAGATGGACAGGTCACTGCCAATACACTGGATCTTTGGCCAGTGGCAGCAGTCCAGTCCTGGAGCTTGCTATAAAGGGACCGTCTTTGAACAGTCTTCCCAAGGAACATGATTTTGGCTGCTGTTGCCCAGAGTCTGGAAGAGCAGACTTCCTGAGGCAGAGGCTTAATTGTTTCTCTTTCTGGGTTGGCAGATTGTGAGGACTTCAGGATGAAGATAACCACGCCATGTGTGAGCTCAGGTAACTGGCTGGCCTGGGAGAACTGTACCCAGTGCAGACACATGCACGTGCACACACATGGGCGTGCACACCCCTTCTCACTCCCAGCCCACATCTGTGCCCCTGACAGGCAGCCTGTGGGACCCCAACATCACCGTGGAAACCCTAGAGGCCCACCAGCTGCGGGTGAGCTTCACGCTGTGGAACGAATCCTCCCATTACCAGATCCTGCTCAACAGTTTTCCACATATGGAGGACCACAGCTGCTTCGAGCACATACAGCAGATACCTGCGGTAATGGTCACCCCTCTGACATAGCTCCAGAGCCCAACACTGCCAAGTCAGGAGTGGCCTGGGCGCCCAGCGAGCTGTAGAGTTGGTCTTTCTTTCCATCTTTTAGCTGATGAAATAGAGTCAATTCTGCCCTGCCCACCACCCCCTGTCCTTTTTGTTCTTCCTTCCCCCATTCTTCCCTTATTCTCTATTTTGCTGTTTTTATTCTACTTGATTACAAAAAGGATTTATATGTGTGTGTGTGTGTACACACACACACACACACACGGGCACGCGCGCACTGGGGATTAAACCCAGAGGCATTTCACCACTGAACCACATCCCCAGCCCTTTTTAATTTTGAGACAGGGTCTTGCTAAGTTGCTTAGGTCCTTGCTAAGTTGTTGAGGCTGGCCCTGAACTTGAAGTCCTTCTGCTTCCTGTGTTGCTGGGACTACCTCAGTGGCTGGGTGTGAGCCACTGAGCTTGACTCCAAAAAGGATTGAAGATTAAAAAAGAAGAAGAAATGTGGGAATTAAGACAAAGGGGGCCTACAGATAAGAAATAAGATGAAGCCAGGTTAGTGCAGAAAAGATGTGCTGTGTGGTCTGTCCCCCTCTGGGTGTGAACACAGATCTGTCCTACAGTCCCCAGCAACCACGCAGAGGGGGAAATACCAGTTACTACTGTGTTTATCAGTTGACAGCAAACCACTCGCCCTGCAGAATGGTCGATTTTTCTGGAATAGAAATCTGAAAAGCGTTTCCCCCTCTGGCCTTCCTGAGAAGTGCATTTGGTCCATGAGGGTGATGTCCCCAAGCTTCTTGGGGATGTGATGCAGCAAGTTCGTATCCAACTGGCCTTTTCCGTCCTCCTCTCTGCAGCCCAAACAAGAGGAATTCCACCAGCGAGCCAACCTCACTCTCCCGCTACACAACTCTAACTGGTGCTGTCGCCACCGAGTACAGGTGGGTGGGCGTGATGCACACAGGTGTGGGAGAGTGTGCACAGGTGGGCCTTCCTGCCAGGGGGCGAGGTAAGCAAGGGCAGCTGTGGGCCTGCGCTGTATCCGGCCCCAGCACCGCTCTGTCTGTAATGCCCTGGCAGGGAAAGCACCAGCCTGCCTTTCAGCTGCCCTGTTCTCCCAACCCCACCTGGGCAGGGGACCTTTGACCCATTGCACAGATAGAAGATCTGGTTCAGCAGCCCCTGGAAAGATCTTTGGGTTTCTTGATAGAGTGTTTTAACGTTGCCTAGGCTGGACTCAAAGTCCTGGGCTCAGATGATCCTCCTGCCTCAGACTCCTGAGTAGCTGGGGCTACACACAAGCGCCAACATGCCCAGCTCAACAGCCACATGGAGATCTGGCCTAGCCACCCAGGGTCCATTACTTGCAAATGGCCCGTGCTGTTGAGAAAGCATGGGGATGGGTGTATGTTGCCACCTCTCAGAGGCCCTCTTCCAGTTCTTCCTCTTCTCTCCCAGGTCCAGCCCTTCTTCAACAGCTGCCTTAATGACTGCCTTAGACACACCATGACCATCCCCTGCCCAGACGTTCCAGAGACTTCAGGTAAGAGGGACACCTCTGCCCTGGGTTGTGTCTGTCTGGGGTGAGGTTGGGTGAAGGTCATCCCCTGGAGCTGAGTCCTGACCTGGTCCTAGGTGTGGCGGAGAGGTGGGGAGGGTGACTTAATTTGAGGACACTCTCCTGAGCTTCACTCCCCACAGCCCTTCATAAGCTGTGTGGCCTTGGGCAGAGTTTGTGGCTTCCTTGTCCTTAACTTCCTTGACTGGAAGATGGGGTTGTTACTAGCACACAGTTACAGTTAGGCACCAATAAAATGGAAGTGCTTTACTTCTTACAAATTGCAAGTCACAGTATGGTGAAGTTGAGACTCCCCACCCCAGGCTCACAAATGAGGAAACTGAGGCAGAGATGTTAAATAGCTTGTTCCAGATCACATGCTAAGGTGGTGGAGAGCCCCAGCTTCCTACCTGAGCCAGTTGCCTACTTCTCCTTCAGAAGCCATGGGTCCCCAACTCCCACAAAGCCATCGCCACATGCCAACAACAGACATGGCACAGGCTGGAAGAGACCTGGCCTTCCGAGTGGGAGGTGAGGCACCTCTTCTTAGACCAACAACTGAGGGTGCTTCGTGTAGGTGGCTGCATTATTTTTGACCCATATCCAAAGTATTGGGTATAAGGTTAGGGTTAGACCCTCCGTGGACATGAGTGATGGGTTTTTTAATTACTGCTAATAATTAAGAACACTCTTTTCTCTTTTTTCTTTTGTTCTAATTGCAGTCAAAATTGCAGGTAAGCTCAGATCCCTTCCCACATTCCCCAGGGGTCAGAGGGGTTCCTGACTGAGCCTTGTACCCAGCCAGGCAGTCAAGGCTGAACCTGAGGCTCAGTGTGTCCTGGTGCAGGCCAGAGAGGACAGAGCCAGGGACTGGGGAATGGCGCTGGGACCCTTGCTGTCACTCACGCTGTTCTGCTCACCACAGAGTATATACCCCTGTGGGTGTATGGCTTCATCACGGGCATCTCTATCCTGCTGGTGGGCTCCATCATCCTGTTGATTGTCTGCATGACGTGGAGGATAACAGGTAAGGAGCTCTGGGACAGGCAGAGGGCTTCCCACTGTTCCTCATTTTTCTCTCTTTCCTTCTCCTCCTTTCTTAACCAGTCTCACTGCTAGACCTTCCCTATAAGGCTGTGCTCAGAGGGCGCCCTTCAATTCAGCCCTGTAATCTCAACTAAGTATAGACATTGCCTCTCTTACATTAAACAGTGATCCCAGTTTCCAGAAATCTAGAACATGGCATCAGGCTGATGTGGGCTCATAGACCACTGACTGCCTGGGAAGATGTCTTAATTCTCTGAGCCTTAGATTTGTCTGTTGTAAAATGACAAAGATAATACTGACACCATAAGACTGTTATAAAGATTAAGTGAATAATACAAACGGTATCTCAAAAAAGTCTGGGGATGGAGCAAACCAGATGCCCTTTAGTAGATGAATGGGTAGGGAAATTTTGTATATGCACACAATGGAATATTACTTAGCTTTAAAAGAGAATAAAATCATGGCATTTGCAGATAAATGGATGGATATAGAGAATATAATGCTAAGTGAAGTAAGCCATTCCCAAAAAACCAAAGGCCTAATGTTTTCTTTGATATGAAGATGCTGACTCATAATGGTGATGTGGGGGGAGCATGGAAGGAATGGAGGAACTTTAGATAGGGCAAAGGGGAGGGAGAGAAAGAGAGGGGAGCATGGGGGTAGGAAAGATAGTGGAATGACTTAGATAGCATTACCCTAAGTACATGTGTGAAGACACGAATGGTGTGAAAATACTTTTTGTACAACCAGTGACTTGAAAAATTGCGCTCTATATGTGTAATATGAAATGAATTGCATTCTGCCATCATGTATAACAAATTAGAATGAATAAATAATTTAAAAAAAAAAAAAAAGGTCTGGGGATAGACCTGAGTGGTTGAGTGCCCCTGGGTTCAATCAAGTGCTCCTGGGTTCAGTCAAGTGCTGGGGGTATTGCTCAGTGTCAGGGCACTTGCCGATCTCATGTGAGGCCCTGGATTTAATTCCTAGCACTGTAGGGAAAAAAAAGAAAAGGTAAAATAATGATGTTAGCAGATATTTTTGTTTTGTTTCATTTCTGCCATTGTAGAGTGTGTGTGTGTGTGTGTGTGTGTGTGTGTGTGTTTTGCTAGGGACGGAACCCAGGGCCTTGTGCATGTTAGTCAAGTGCTGTATCACTGAGCAGCATCCCCAGCTGCCATAATACTTCTGACCATTTCCTGAAGTGCTGCATGCTGCCAGGTAAAGGAAAGGAAAACCCCACTAGTTACACACTGTCAATAGATTGCCCTTTTAAATTAGAAAAGGACCAAAGAGTAAGGATTGAAATTAAGGTTCCAAATCTTTGGTGGTGGTACAACACTGCTTGTATAGTGTATGTGAAACCCTAAGTTCGCACAAAAAGGAAAGAAAGAATTAATTAATTAAAATAACTCTTACATGGTCATCCATGAACTCTCTTCACCCCAAATGTCACAGAAGAGTCTGTTCCATGCAGTTTTTTCATCACATGTCCAAGGGTTACAATTGCCTAAGTATGTTGGTTCCCCTTCCTCACCTCAAAAATACCAGGAGGAAATGTTGTAAGTGGCTGGGTGCAAGCTCTGGAAAGAAATGTCATAGGCTATCTGCCTCTTGCAAGGACACTTCTGGGGAAGAACTTTCCTGCCAGTAGAGTTTGTTCATGAAAGTTCCTCCCTGGTCCCTCACCATGGCTCAGATCCCCAATTTCCCTGCAGCTTAGCCTCTGTGACAGGCCTCGCTGGGTCAATACCACAAATATCCCAGGGACCCCAGCTGACTAAGTGTGTACAATGCACAGGGCCCCTCACACACATGATCGCATCTACCACCACTTCAGACTCATTTTACACAGGAAGAAACTGAGTTTCAGAGGTGTTAGTAACACTAGCAACCAACCAGGCCTTGTGGCTGGGCAGCTCCCCAACATGGTGTCTCTGCGAAAGCCCAGAAGCCTCTGATAACCATTATCTGGAGGATTGCTATCTTATCAGTTGTCCTTTGTCAGGGGTGGTGCAGTGCTCCTGTGAGACACCCTGTGAGCTGGTCCTGGTCCCTGTTTCCCTTCAGTAGAGTCACTCCAATGTACTTCTTTTTATTTCAGGGTCTCATCATGAAAAATATGGAGATGACACCAAATACACTGGTCAGTATTCTGGTCTCTGAGGGGCTGGTTTGTGTGTGTTATTGTTTTTAAAGGTTGATGGTGGGTTCTCAGGATGAATGAATGGGTCACCTCTTGTGGTCTGGCCCCTGAGCCCCTCCCTTCAGAAGACCTCACATTTAGTACCCACCCTCTGGCACCTCACACAGAGGACTCTCAGGGTGCCCCAAACACCAAGGCTTAGGACACCATGTTTTTGGTATTGGGGATTGAACCAGGAGTACTTTACCATTGAGCTACATCCCCGGCCATTTCTTTTATATTTTATTTTGACACACAGTCTCACTAAGTTGCTTAAGGCCTGAGGCTAGCCTCAAACTTGTGATCCTCCTGCTCAGCATCCCAAGTCAATGGGGTTACAAGCTTGCGCCATTGTGCCTGGCTGGGACACCATATTTTTAATCACCCAGACAAAGAAAGAAAAGTAAGTATACCATATCTTGTGAAGAAAGGTCTTTCCTTGAGCATGCACATAGCCAGTCTTTGCACCATTTTTTTTTTCCAATTAAAATGATTAAAGTATAGGCTAAAGGCCAGAAAGGAATGTGAGAGAAAGAAAGGCACCAAACTGATTTTTTTCAGGCAGCCCAAACAAGGCAAGACAACATTTTGCTTCTTCTAAAAGACCTGGGTTGTGTTTCTTAAGCTAGAAAGACAAACTCTGTGCTTGATCCAGGGCCTTTACAGGCTGACCAAGAGGGACACTACCCTGGGCCTGGGGCATGGGGATTAAGCATGTGGTCTTGCTTTCCTTGGTTTCCCTTAGGTGTCCTGCCCACTACTGACCTGACCCCCCCACCGCTAAAGCCCAAGAAGGTCTGGATTGTCTACTCAGCTGACCACCCTCTTTACGTGGATGTGGTTCTAAAGTTTGCCCAGTTCCTGATCACCACCTGTGGCACTGAAGTGGCTCTTGACCTCCTGGAAGAACAAGTCATCTCAGAGGTGGGGGTCATGACCTGGGTCGGCCGGCAGAAACAGGAAATGGTAGAGAACAATTTCAAAATCATTATTCTGTGCTCCCGAGGTACCCGGGCCAAGTGGCAGGCCATGCTGGGCTGGGAGGAAGCCACTGTCCAGCTGCGGTGTGACCGTTGGAAGCCCACTGGGGACCTTTTCACAGCGGCCATGAACATGATCCTGCCAGACTTCAAGAAGCCAGCCTGCTTTGGCACCTACATCATCTGCTACTTCACTGGCATCAGCAGTGAGAGCGATGTCCCTGACCTCTTCAACATCACCTCCAGGTACCCTCTTATGGACAAGCTAGAGGAGGTTTACTTCCGGATCCAGGATCTGGAGATGTTTGAACCTGGCCGGATGCATCGCCTCCAGGAGCTCACAGGGGAAAATTACCTGCAGAGCCCCAGTGGCTGGCAGCTCAAAGAGGCCGTGGATAAGTTCCGGGAGTGGCAGACCCAGTGCCCTGACTGGTTTGAACGTGAGAACCTTTGCTCCACTGATGACCAGAACCTCCCATCCCTGGACGAAGAAGTGTTTGAGGAGCCACTGCTGCCACCAGGGAGCGGGATTGTCAGGCAGAAGCCCCTGGTGCGGGAACCTGCCTCGGAGGGCTGCCTGATGGTAGATTTATGCATGGGTGAGGAAGGAAGGGGAATGTCGAGGGTGGTACCCCAATTGCAGCCCCCGGGGGAGGCCATCCAAACTGTGGTGCTCCCCAGTGAGCAGGTCCCTGCTGCTTGTGCAGTGGAGCTGGTTCCTCTTGCTGACAGCAGCGACGCCAGCCGGCTGACCTTGGTGGAGGAGGGCGAGGCCTGCCCCCTGCTGGAGGATCGTGGCCTCCAGAGAAAGAACATCCTCTTCCTCCCCGTGGACCCTGAGGACTCGCCTCTCTGCAGCACTCCAGTGGCATCACCTGGCCACCTCCCCGATGGTGTGAGGGAGCAGCTGGAGGGCTTGATGCTCTCACTTCTGCAGCAGAGTCTGAATAGCCAGGCCCAGGGTGCATGGGAAGATGCTGCCCTGGTCCTCAAGGACCCCTCCATACCCTGTGAGGAGGAGCAGCGGCAGTCCGTGCAGTCGGACCAAGGCTACATCTCCAGGAGCTCCCCACAGCCCCCTGATGGGCTTGGGGAAATGGAGGAGGAGGAGGAGGAAGAAAAGGACCTAGGGAAGTCAGCTGAGCAGCTGTCTCCTGAGCTTCTGCAGGACCTGAGGAGCCTCCAGCAGCAGCTTTTCTTCCAAGATCTCCAAAAGAACTCTGGCTGGGACAGTGTGGAGTCAGAGAGGTCTGCTACAGAATAGCAGGCCGCTTCCTAGGGCCTCCCTGGTCCAGACCCTCCATAGGGTATTCATGTGCATGTGGGTGTATGTGTGTGTGTGTGTGTGTGTGAAGCATCTGCCTTTAAAATGTAGGTGTCTTATCAAGCATGGTGGCATGTCCCTGTGGTCCTAACTACTTGGGAGGCTGAGATGGGAGGATCAGTTGAGCCTAGAAATTCAGGATCAACCTGTGTGACAACAAGATCCTGTCTCAAAAATAAATTAAGGAAAATAAAACGTACACATCCTGATTCTGATCCCAGTACCCCTCCTTAACTTTTCTTTATGTGACCATCTGTTCATCTTGTGTCCCCACAAGAAGTCACAACCCATTCCCAGGAACTCGTGGATGAGTCATTCATTGATTCATTCAGCATTTATTTGGCACCTACTGTGTGCCAGGCATTTGGGATACAAAAGTATATTACACATGCCGCGGCCTTGGCCACCAAGGAGTTTAACATCTAGTGAGAACCAAAAATTAGCAAGCGTGGAATGGGGATGAAGGAACAAGGTATAAAGACTGAAGAGAGGCCTGGCAGGGCCCTGGCCCAGGGAGAAGCTGGTTTGGGGGAATGTCACAGTCCCAGGGAAGGGAGCAGCCTGGGGGGTGAGTGCTGGTGGGGGGGGGCAGGAGAGATGTGGATGGGGAGGAAGCCAGAGCTCGGGGTGGAGAGAACCTTATAGGCCAGGCTGGGAGCTGGGACAGCAGCCCAGAGGCCTGCTGAGGACGCCTTTCATGAAAGGTGAGCTGGTGCCCTGCAGGGGAGGGGACTGTGTGCCAGACATGCCTGGAAGTCACCTCAGATGAGTTTTAAAAGCAGACAGGATAGAGCGTGTGATGTGAAACCTAACAGCATTCAGCAGGGAGAAGAGTCTGGAATCCTGAGCTCACTGACTGGCCACCTGTCAGTGGGAGGGCTGTGGCCCAGCATTCCTCAGGGCTGCCTGCCTGGACCCTGGGCTGAAGCCCTGAGCTCAGGAAGCACTGGGCAGGGGGGTGCAGAGTGAGGTGCGGTGTGGGGCGGGGAGGGAAGGCAGTGGAGATCTAGGCAGGCCCTTTGGGGACAGGGAACGTGTGCTGCTGTGTACCTGAAGGTCTGAGGTTCAAGACAGCATTTGAGGAGAGATTCAGGCCCCAGTTTGAAGGCAGTTTTCCTCAAGCGCCTTCTTGGGGTAGACGGGAGCTGAAGAACACACAGGGATGCCTCCGATCCTGGCCTCGAGTGCTGTCCACTCTGGGCATCAGACCTTCATGTCTTCCCAGCTTCAGCGTGGAGAGGACTCTGATAGGACAAGAAGCCAACATCACAAGGCATATGTGCCTGGGCCTGTGCGTGCATGAAAGAGATTCAATAAAAAGTTGTTAACTCTGCCAAGAATTCCCACTAGTTATTTTGAGTCACATGTTACCGTAGATCTATTCTTTCTTGCAGACAGATTTTGCCTAGCAGCAGCAGCAGCAGGGCCACCAAGGCAGTAAGTACCAGCGTGTGCCCCATACTCGGTCCAGCAGCAGCAGCAAAGGACCAGAAGAGGGAGAAAAGGAATCAACCCCTCCCAACCACCAGCCTCTGAGGCTCCCTCTTTCTTCTCTAGTAATCCTGACAGTGAGCATCTTGGATCAAGATGCCAACCAAGCTTCCTGTGACATTTCCTCAGCTCCCAGTAGATATGTATTAGAGGTCCAGAGTGCAGAATACCATGGCGATTCTGCTTTTGCTAAAGCAGGGCCTTGCCTGACAGCAAAGTGACCCCAAGCCACTGCATGGTTCCCTGAAGCAAACTCTACATCTTGATCACAAACCTTGAGTTCTAGCTGCTTTTTGAGGCCTTATCAATAAATGTCCTCAGAGCTGGGCATGGTGGCACACTCTGAAATCCCAGCAGTTTGGGAGGCTGAGGCAGGAGGATCAAGAGTTCAAACCCAGCCTCAGCAACTTAGTGACACCCTGTCCCTAAAATATAAAAAAAAAAAGGCTAGATATGTGGCTTAGTGGTTAAGGACCCCTGGGTTCAATCCCAGGTACCAAAATAAATAAAAATAACAAGAATGTCATTTTAAAAAAATAATAAAATCAATTTTTTTAAAAAGGGAAAAAAAAAGAATGTCCTCAGTTGCCATTGTCTCTTAAGTCCCCTTTATTTCCATGGTTACTGATTTTTTCACCTAATATCTTTGTCAAGATATACTTGATTTTTTTAATTTATTATTTACTTGTAATTGGACACAATACCTTTATTTTATTTATTTATTTTTATGTAGTGCTGAGGATCGAACCCAGGGCCTCACACATGTTAGGCAAGCACTCTACCGCTGAGCCACAACCCCAGCCCAAAATATACTTTATATACCATACAATTCATAGGTGACTGTACAACTTAGTGATGTTTAGTGTATTCAGGATTCAGCAACCATCATCACAATCAAGTTTAGAACATTTTCTTACCCCAAAAAGAAACCCAGCATCCCTAGTCATCACCACCTAACTTCTTCATCCCTAGGTAACCCCTAATGTACACTTTGTAGATTTGCTTTCTCTGGACATGTCATACAAATGGAATAAAAAAATCTTCCTTCCTTCCCCCTCCTCCTCCCTCTCTCCTTTTCTCACTGTTTCCCAGGCTGGCCTTGAATTCCAAGGCTCAGGCAGCCCTTGCTTCAGCCTACAGGGCACCTGAGTTCACAGGCATGCACCGTGTGCTGGCTTCATTTCTTTCTTTAATGTCATTCCCTTGTTTCTCCTCACATTCCCTCCCCCTTCCTCAGAGCCCTCAATCTCCTTTGAGTCTTTGCTAACCATAAGTGCTGGAAATTATGTAACCTGAGTGTGGCATGTGTTATTGGCTGGATGCCAGGTCATCAAGAGCATGTATAATTAAAGCTGTGCCTAATTTTTTGCCTAACAAAAACCCTCTCACCCAAAAGCCTCTCCAACAACAGACGCCTTTAAGCTCTGCTTTTCCCACCCTCCTCTAGATAGAAGGCAGCAGAAGACTTTGGGGGTGGGCAGAAAGCACCAGCCAACGTGACCAAAATTCAGTGGATCATCTACCCATGACTGGTGTCTAGTGGACACAGTCACGCTTCCATCATGTACACTTCTGACTCATACAGAGAAATGTTATGCTTTTTCCTGCCTACTATCTTGACCCTAGTCAAAAAACAAAACAAAACAAAAAAAAAAACCATAAGGGCTGGAGGTGTGGCTCAGTGTTAGAGTGCTTAGTATGCATGAGGCCCTGGGTTCCACCCCAAGCACCACAAAAAGAAAAGGAGGCACAATTAGATGATCATCTGAACATCAATTGATACAGTAGTGCTTCAGTTCAAAAAGCAGTTTTTCTTTCCTTCTTAGGTAGATCCTCAAAGGTGTTTAGGTCGCAAAGAGTTTGTTCAAGCAGGGAATCCCTGAATGTGCATTTTTTTCCCCTTTGAAAATTTAACAGGGCACAAGGGTAAATATGTATTTACAATGCCATGAACATTCTTTAAAATATTTATTTTGTGGTACTATGGATTGGGGTGCTCTGTCACTGAGTTACATCCCCAACTCTAAATTTCGAGACAAGATCTTGCTGGATTGCTCAGGACCTATCTAAGTTGCTGAGGCTGACCTTGAATTTGGATCCTCCTGCCTCAGCATCCTGAGCCACTGGGATTACAAGCATGTGCCACAACACCTGGTTGAAGGCAGTTTTAATTCTATAATGTTTGGACTCTGCAGTTGAGGCCCTTCTTTCCTAAATAAAGCAGAAGAGTATCAAGCTGTGTCCTGCCCTAGCACTTCCGGAGCTGGCCTGCCAGCTGAGGGCCACCAGACACATGGGCTCCAAGTTATGCAGGAGATCAAGGGTCCAAGAGAACTGCAGCACAGGCCCTGAGTCTAATAAGCCAGGTATAGTGGACAAAAAGATTCCTTACATAGAGGAGACAGTTACCACAGGTCTGCTGCTCTTTGGCTGAGTGACCAATTAGGCCATCTTCCTCAGGCCTCAGGTCACTCTAAATTGGGGATGGCAGGAGTATGTATCTCACCTGGTCTTGTGAAGAGTCCATGAAATTCATGAGAGGCACTGAGGTGTCCCACACCCAGGAAGCACCCGATCCATGTTAGCCACACCTGGGTCCAGTATACCCCTACCTTTGCAGGAAGCCAAGTGGCTCCTTAGTTCTCTTGAACACTGACCTGATCCTGGGGCAGAGCAGCTTGTGACCTGGGGTGCTGATTGGCTGCTTCTCCTGCTGTTATTTATTGCTTCTTCCCTCTAGTTTGCTTTTCCATATTATAAAAGTAATCTATGCTCCAATTCTTGGTATATGTTAGGTGCTCAATAAATGTGTGAACTGAGTGAATATGTGCATGTGGGAAAACGGCAACAACACAGAGCCTATAGATTATATTACAGAAGAATATAAAGCACCTACCTCCAACCCCACATGTACGCCCCCACTTCCTCCATCATGTCACTCCCAATGGCTCCCAGGGTCATCTTGCTTTAGGCCACTCCCCAGCTCTCCATGCCTGGTGGCCTCCCCTGGTCCTGGCACTGGACCTCACTCTTGTCTATTTAGGGCGGTAAACACAGGTGGTCACCCAGTAGAGCCAGCCTTGTCCATTCATGGAACAGGGAGACCCCCTGTCATGATGTGAAGGGTGACAAGAAGTCGTGTCCAACATGCCCCTACTCCCTGGTACCTAGATTCCTTTCGGAGGAGGAGCAGCCCCTCGGGTTGTGAACACTGCTGTAGGAACTAGCTTACTGGATCCTTCCAGATGTAATTGTGACCCAAGAGGAGGAGGGGAGGCAAGCTGCCACTGGCCAGCCCCCCACCTGAGCCCTCGCCCTAATAGGGTGTCCCACTGGTTGGCTTTGCTCACCTCTTCCATGGGACTCACATAGAAACTGAAAAACAGCCCTGCTTTTTAGCCAGAACTGAGCTTCAGTGGAGGGAAAGGTGAACTGGAGGCTCCCAAGGTGCTGCAGATTCTGGAGGTGACAGACCTGGCTTCCCTTGCTGCTGCAGTGTGGCATTCACAAGCTACCTCATCTTCCCAGGCCTCAGGAAAACAGATGACAAGGAGAAAATGAGCTAATCCCACAGTCAAGGGTGGGATCTGTTTCTGTGTTCCTTCTTGGAGCCAGCCCTGAAGGGTCAGATTGTCCCCTGCGTTGTCATGCTGGTCACCAGAAGCTCTTCTCCACCTTTCCCAGGGGCGTTCTGACATGTTCCAGCTGACCAATTGGTGAGCACCAGCTGACCTAACTCTAGTACACAAATGCAAAACATGCTTAGCCAAATTAATCTTATTTTACACCAGATTTAAGAACGTGTTCTTATATTGTTCTATAATTGTTCTGCATGTCAATTTGGTCCCCAGTTGGGATTATCAGTGTCTTGAGGAAAAGTGCCATTTTAGCAAATGTCACCTCATCCACTCTTACCACAGCTCTGTGAGGTAGACTCTTTGCCCCTGTTTATAAATGATGAACCAGTTCCAGGTCTGGGGATTGCCCAAGCCACACAAACAGATTCCCTGGTTCTTCCACGCTCTGATTTGGCCTCCTGTACCCTGCTGGACCAGACTGCTACAAAGCCTTTGGAATAGCAGAAAGCAGTAGACTATAGAGTAACAACACAGAGTGGGGTGAATAGTACTGGCTGCCTTTGTGCTAAGAAAAAATTACTGTGGGTTTTTTTTTGTTGTTGTTTTTTGTTTTTTTTGGTGCAGACCCAAGATTCTGCCTTAGACTTAATAGTTTCCTTCCTGTTCATAAATAAATAAATAAGACATGGCTGTTTCTTCTCATTCATACATAAGAATGCATGCTTCTGGCTGGGGCAAGAGTGATAAGGAAGGAAAGAGTATTTAAAATTGTTTCTTACCAGGCACAGTGGCACATGACTTCAGTCCCAGCCAATCAGGAGGCTGAGGTGGTAGGATTGCTTGAGCCCTAGAGTTCAAGACCAGCCTGGGTAATATAGCAATACCCCATCTCAAATGTGGCTCGGTGGTAGAGTGCTTGCCTAGTATGCATGAGGCACTGGGTTCAATTTCCAACACAAAAAAATAAATAAAGATATTGTGCCCATCTACAACTAAAAAAAATGTTAAATGTTTTTTTAAAAATAATTAAATATGGGGCTGGGGATGTGGCTCAAGTGGTAGCGCGCTCGCCTGGCATGCGTGCGGCCCGGGTTCAATCCTCAGCACCACATAAAAAAAAAAGATGTTGTGTGCGCCGAAAACTAATAAAATAAAATAAAACTCTTTCAAAAAATAAAATAAAATAATTAAATAAAAATCTGTTTTCTCTAGCCTTTCCCCCTTTGGAAAGCTATTCTGGGAGAAACTCAGGCAACTGGGGGAGTCCCTCTCCACAGTTAGCCACACCTACAGAAGACCTGGCTAGAACCCCCAGCCCCAGGCCATAGCCTTCTGCCTCCCCAAATCACTCCAACTACCTAGCCAAGGTGTACCCACAATGTTTATACCAACATATGAAATGACAACGAATGTCACAGTGACATTTAAGAATTCAGTAAGGAAATCAGGACAGGAAGATCTTAAAACAAACCACACAGGAAGCTTGTCACAAGTCTCAAGTTTTTTATTTTCAGAACAGAGTCTGGTTTTATTTTTAAAAAGAGAAAGAAAAAAAAGTGATAAATGCTAGTGAGGTGCCACTTCCCTCCTCCTTCTGGGCTCTAGCTCCCAGCTAGTTCTCTTCTACAAAAATCCACCAGCTCATTATCAGGGCATACTAAAAGGGAATGGTCTTAGCAAGATTGTGCTGCATGATTATAATCTCAGCTGCTCAGGAGGCTGAGGCAGGATGATTGCTTGAGCCCAGGAGTTTGAAGCAGCCTGGTTTCAAAGGGAGACCCCTTTTCAATCAATTGATAGTCTTTAGAGAGAGTCTAAATGGGTAAGGTTTGAGGGGTTCAGGTAGAGGACCCACACACATGTTCAAACGTCAGGAGCAGGCAGGTCTAGATTCTGAGCCCAGAGTTCTTTTCTGTAAACCATACTGCTGGCACAGGCTTCAGGGACAGCACATTATCCTGGTCATCAGACCCCTGGGGAACATCTCAGGTTTAATCCCTGCAATTTAGATGGCCTGGAATGCAAGGAAAGGGGGCTGGGAATGTGGCTCAGTAGTAGAGCATTTTCCCCAGGAAAACAAATAAAAATAAATATTTTTTTAAGAGAAGCTTTAAGTAACATTTCTTATTGACACTGGAAAAGGGGGAATGAGTGAAAGACTCAAATAAAACATACCAAACTGGGCATGGTGGTGCATGTCTGTAATCCCAGTGGCTCAGGAAGCTCAGTCAGGAAGATCATGAGTTCAAAGCCAGCCTCAGCAACAGCGAGGCGCTAAGCAACTCAGTGAGACCCTGTCTCTAAATAAAATACAAAAATGGGCTAGGGAGTGGCTCAGTGGTCAAGTGCCCCCGAGTTCAATCCCCAGTACCCTCCACCCCCCCCCCCCCCCCCCCCCCCAAAAAAAACACCAAAAGGAAGGGACCTGCCTCCTAAGCACAAATTAATTGTGCTCAATGTATAAAAGAGGATGCTGGGAGTGGGAGGGGGAGAAGGGACCTTAGGCAGGACTTGAGCAGGCCGGGCCTCTGCCAGAATTGGCCCCATTGCCATCATCTCCACAGACCCAGGGAAGTGGCAGCTCACTGGAACCTATCACGCCCCCAACCAAAACCCAACAGCACTCAGAGTTCATACCCAGTCACTCAGCAGGGAGATGGCCATCAAAAAAGTAGAACAAAGGTGGGTCAGGGGCCAGCCAGGGCCAGCCATGGCTCAGACATAATGTCCTTTCACAGTCACTGAGATTAGGTAGCAGAAAAACAGCAAAGCTGGAGAGAAGATATGGGAATAGCAGGAGCAGCTGTCAATTCCCACCTGGGCCTGGGCCCCAGAACCTTGAGTCCAATCAAAAGAAAAGAAGGGGAGTCAGTCTTGGGGTGGGGAGAAGGCAGAACAGATTTGTTGTCAAATCCAGCCAGCCAGTGCAGTGCAAGAAGGGTGAGAGCCCAGAGGGTGCTGACTGTAAACCTTTCCCCACCCTTGCCGGCGCAGAGCAGGGCAGGCTCCAGAGCACTCTGGTCAAGCTTTAGCCCCTCACGGATCTGTCCACATGGATGGCTTCTGCCCACAAGCCCCCAGGCAGTTGGGAGGAAGAAACCCCAAGCATCCCCTTGGTTTCCAAAGGATCCCAGCTGAACCAAAACAAGAGGTTATTTTGGCTGGGTGTCCTGGCTGTGGGATTAGTGCACTGTCATGACTTGGCACTCTGGGCCCCTCCCTGTGCTGAGGACTCTAGAGAAGGCTAGAGACAATGCAGTAGGAAAAGACCCTGCAAGCCCACCCCAGCCCTGGTGCCAACAGCACCTGCTCTTCCAGCCTGAGGCTGCAAATACATCCAGAGAAGAAGCAGGGAATGTTCCACAAGTATATCCTGGCTGGCTCCTCTCCTACCTACCCTTACAGAGAGCACTAAAATCAGGGCTTTCAAGAGACCTAAATACAAAGAATGCTACACTAGGAAGGTAACTGAGGCCAAGAAAGTAAAAATAATATATTACTCAAAGATAGTGAGTGAACGAGAATCTATGTCTTCCGGATCCTGGCCCAGGGTTTGTTACACTACATAGAACTCCCAAAGCAGAAGAAAGAAGGGGAACCCAAAATTCCTAAAATTTTGCCCCCATCCCATTCTATTGTGGGTGGGGGAAAGTGAGTATTTCCTGGCCTTGGTCCCTACCGTCTTCCTGCACACTTACCACCCCTAAAAATACTTATCCTGCCTCAAGGATTCCAAGAGTGATGTCCCACCCCAAGTTTGTAAGTGGGCAACCCTGCTCGTCTCTTGTCATCACCTCGGTAAGAGGAACAGCATGAGGGAAAGCTGGCCAGGCAGGGAGGGTTCTGCAGCCTGCCTTGTTCCTAGTGAGTTCTATAAGCAGAGCAGAGACAGAAAGGTCACTGCCGCTTTCCTGATCTATACTAGTTCCCTGGAGGAGAAACAGATGGGAACTGGGAGTCCTACTCCCCTGGGTCCATGGGAAGTCCAACTTCACATCAATCCAGACACTAAAGCTGCTTCTCTGAGCCAGTTCTAACCCAGCCAGCACCAGTACAGGAAGGATAAGCATTCTGGATGTAGATGAGGAAAAAAGATGGGCAAGCCAATGGCTGATACTCCACAGACCCTGTAATCACTGGCACCAAACCCCAATGGGACCTGGGGCCACACTGAACACAACTTTTATATTTTCTTTATTTTTTGCAAGCAGCATCAGTGCATGATGCAACAAAGTGGAAAGCACAGAGGTAGAAATGCTCACTCACCCAAGAATGGGTGCTGTTTGGTCCTTAGAATATGGATCCCTCCTCCCAAGCTAAGAAGGGAGGAGTGGGATTGAGGAAGACCTGGGAGAGCTTCTCCCTTGAGGAAAGCAACTGTGTAACTCCAAGGCCCACTCTCCTGGGGATTCGTGGTCAAAAATTCAGGCAGGAAAGAGGAGATTGGTGGTAGTGGAGGGTGGGCAGCAAAATTTTCCCCAACCCCCCTTGTGGTTGCAAGGATCACAGGGTAGACACAAGGAAACAATGCCTCCCCCCCCCCCCCCCCCCCCCCCCCTCTCTTCATCTACTTTCTGGAATAGATACACAAGGAGAAGAGTGGATTTGGGGTCAATGACCTCAAACCACAGCCTAAAAGATGCTGGTGAAGGCCCAAGGTGCAGCCCCCCTGCCTGGATAACCCCCTTTCCTCCATTCTCTCCCACAATGGATGGGAATTTGGGTGAGGCAGGGAAAGCAGGAAGCATAGTCATCCAGTCCGTGGAGGTCAGTACTGGGGTAGGATATGGAAAAAGGAGCAAAGGGTAAGTGGACCCACCTCCCCCACGGTTACTGCTCCCTCTGAGTTGTCTTTACCTAAAGTGTGCAAAAGGATGTGCTGGCCCTCAACCCTAGTAAAAGTCACCTCTTCCCAACAAAGCCTAACCAAATCCCGGGAACAGATCTGAGGCCATAGGGCCTGGGGCCTCAACCTCAAAGCAAGGCTCCCTCTCATTCACTCCCTCAATTCTGGGAAGCAACAGCCAGTGTGTTGACATAACCATGGGGACCCCCCTCGTTCTCAGAGATGCAGTGGCCCAGCTGGGAACCTCCCTGAGGTGGTGGCGGCGGGGGCGGTGGGGCAGAAGGTGGAGCACCATAACTGCCTCTGGCCCGACTAGGGGAGGTCCGACTCCCCCGGTCCCAACAGCCCTCTAGGGCCTCCAGGCCTCGGCAGCCAAGGAAGAAGAGGTTCTTGAGCATAAAGATGGAGAGGGGCTGCTGGTAGCTCACCACTAGGAGGCACCGCAGCGCTAGCAAGGGCACGTCCACCAGGCAGCCACCTAGTAGGCGCAGAAGGCGGCTGCAGCTGCCAGGGCCTGAGGCCTGGCCCCAGGACGACGCTGCCACCGCTGTGGAGTTGAGCTCGTAGAGCCAGAGCACCGGCGAGGCAAGGGTGAGGAAGTAGACAGAAATAAGCAGGTATCGCAGGTGCGCGGGCAGCGGCACCCGCCCTTCCAACATCAGCTCCACCAGGGTAAAGCTGTCGAGCAGATCTAGACACGTGCCCAAGAAGCAGCCAGCAGCGCGGTGTTGCTGGGGCTGCAGGAGCAGGGGTCCCGCAGAACCTGGGGGCGCGCCCGCCTCGCTGATGGCCCGCACCAGGCTGTAGAGCAGGGGCACCGACAGCGCCATGGTGAGGCGGAAGCCGGTGGTGCCAAAGGGCGCGCGCAGCTCAATGAGGTCCAGGATGGACGTGCCGAGGATAAGCACCACCTTGGGCGTGAAAGCGATGGAGTAGATGAGCCAGGCCAGGTAGGCGAAGGCGAACTCCCCCGCCGTCCCGGTCGCCCCCGGGCAGCTCCCTGGGCCTCCGGCGCTCGCGCGTCCGCCGCGCGCCTTGGCCCCGGCCGGGGCCCCAACAGAGGCTGTTGAGGCAGCGGGCAGGTGCAGAGGAGGCGCAGCGTGGTGGTGGTGCTGATGGTGGTTGTGCGCGACAGTCACCGCGCCGCCCCGACGGCCCCGGCTGTTCTTGACGAAGAAGATGGCCCAACCCACCACTACCACCAAGTCGGTGGCGATCCAGGAGCACCAGTACAGGTCAGTGACGGCGATGAGGTACAGGTCTAGCAGACCGCCTTGCGCCAGCAGTAGCACCACGGACAGCGCCTGGTAGCCCCAGCGGCACCCCGGGCTTGGGGTGCAGCCGCGACGCCGACCCCTGCGGCCAGACCGGGCCGGGCGGCCGCAGCAGCAGCAACACGAGCAACAGGAAGCGCCGCTGCCAGTCCCGGTACCGCCCGCGCCCCCGGCGGAGCGGCCCCCTGAGCCCCCGACGGCCCCAGCCGCTGCGCCCCCGCCGAAGTCCGCAGCCGTCATGCTGCAAGAGGAGGTGGGCGTGGAAGTGGAGGATGTGGTGGCAGTGGAGGAGGAGAAGGCGCCCGGCGCGGAGTCGGCGGCCGCTGCGCCCCCCTGAGCCAGGGGTCCCGGGAGCGCGGCGGCGGTGGCCGGCACCAGTGGCTTGCTGATGCTGATGCTCTCGTCGTCGTCCTCTCTCTCTGCGCCGGTGCTGCTGCTTGGGGAGCAGCCGCCCCCGCCGCGTCTGCCGCCTCCTCCCCCCCGGCTGGTACTGGTGCTGGTGCTGCTGTCGCCCGAGCCTTTCCGGCCGCGGGAGGAACCCCCCCGGAGGAAGAGGGGCTGTAGCCGGGCGGCGGCAGGGGGCGGCGGAAAGGAGCCAGACGAGGATGAGACCGCGCGAGGGTTGCTGAGCGCCGGGTGCATTGTCCTCCCAGGGGCTCCGAGGTCTGCCCAGCTGCTCCCTCCCCGCCAACCTCGGGCTGGCGAGGCGGCCGAGGGGAGCCGGGGCCAGCAGCCGCCGCCTCCTCCCCAGCTGCCGGGACTCGTACCCGGGTTGGGCAGCACCGAGATCCGGACTGGAGCCACAGGACTGGGCGAGCCGAGCTCTGGGTGGCTGGGAGCGGGGGGTAGGAGAGGAGCTGAGCGGACCGCGGGGATGGTGACGGCGGGCGAGGCGGGGGCGGAGGCGGGGAGCGAGCCCAGCCGACAAAAAAGGGAGCTGGCGGCGGGGAAACCAGGACTGGATTCAAGGGGGAGAGGAGAGACCAGAGGAGGAGAAAGCCTGGCTTGCTGGATCAGAGGGAAGAAAAGGAGGAGGAGAATGCTGAGGCATTAGAGTCGGGGTGGGGAGTAGTGTGGGCCTGGAGGATGCAAAGAAAGGCGCAAGTATCCGCCAGAATGAGGAGGAACGAGGCCGACTGGTGGGGGCGACGGTAGGAGGACATTAGCAAGCACAGGATTCCTAAGGAAGTCCTTTGGGAGTTCCACTAGCTGAATCCTTGGAGCATCCATCAATGGTTGGATGACTTTGGTCTTGTTATAGACGCCAAGCACAAGACTCAGGCCACACGTTCAGGCTTCTGCACCTGGTCAGCGTAGCTCCTATTGCAGTCAGCAGCAGGACAGCTTCCCCCACCCCACCCCACCCGGTGCCCTTTCCACTGGGCAATCCTGCCTCTCCTTAAGGCATTAAAAACTGATGGAGGAGTCAGGCAATACGGATTTTTAAAAGGCAGCCCTAAAAATATAGTTCTGCATATTCATGCACCCAGCACTGAATTCTGGGTCATCCTCAAGGAAGCTCCATTTTCCAGTGGATCAGGAAGTTCCCTGAATGTAAGTATTTAGGGAGAGAGAATGAATGAAGGGATTGATGGAGAGGCCCCCAGTCAAGCAAGGCTTTGGTATTTATTCTCAAAGGTTTTTAAACAGGTGTTGGAAGTAACAAAATGTATCTAGCACAGAGGAAAACAAAGGGCCATTAAGACACATGGTCACCTGATAAAAACCAAGGCTCAAAGGGGAAGCCAGGGAATGATACAACCTGCCAAAGCAGAGAAGGAACAGTGAATGGACTATGTCAGCCACCCTGCACCAACAAGCTCAGAGTTCATACTGACTCACCCACATGGGCCTTAGACCATAGCATGGGCTGTATATCCAGGCAGACACTCGGCAAGAAAGAAGGTAGGGCCACCTTTAGGGGAATAGGAGCTTTCTATGACTAGAAATTTCTATGACTAGAACATTTGGGGCTCAAGAAAGATTTGGGACTCATATATAATCCCATTCCCAGCCCTCATTGAAGCTAGGCAGGAGGCTTGCCTGTATCTTCCTCCTCCTCCACATCCTTCAGGCTGCAAGCTCCCCACCCTGATTTCATTATTTTAAAGCTGTGGTGGCAGGCTCATCTTGGTAACACCACATAGCACCAGGGATGCAGTGGGACTACAGTGGTTACTTGCCCAGCCTGCATCCCTAAATCTGCCTCTTGGATAAGGGTCAGTTTCAACCAACCCTGCTGTCTCCAGCCTGCACAACTAATCCATAGCAGAGTTGGGATTTAGACCTCATGACCTGCACTGTTTCTCTTTCTCCTTGGCACAGGCAACCTTTGAAAAATTCCATGTTCAATTACACAAGGCAGAGCAGGTGTAAGGATGAGAGGAAGTGGATTGGAGCTGGTGCTCCAACTCTGCCACTTAACAGTCTGAATGAAGTTAGCCTGATTATTTCACCTAAGCCTCAGTTTATTGGTAAAACTTACCTTAAATGGGTTGTTGTAAGTATTGAGAGATCATGTGTGTAAGTGGCTTGGCCCTGGGTATGGTTCAGAGCATACACTCAGTTAAAGGCAGCTAGTGATACCATAATTCTGGTCAGTTCACATCTTAGCCACCTAAGGAGCATTTACCCATAGCAGGGCCACCAGTGGCTACTGTCTGGATTGGATTCCTTCCCGAAGCCACATTCAGAGTTCTGCTCCCACACAGCTCTACACTTCCATCAGTGCCAAAAGCAAAGCTGCTAGGGTGTGAGATTCAGCCATTCTAGCCAGTGCTAATATGTGGGAGGGTGAGACATGGGGCAAAATGGGGAACAAGAGCTTAGCAGATGCAGGCTCCACTGGTGTGTGCATCACTACAGGTCCGGCAGACGTCGGGGTTAAGCCAGTCCAGGTAAAGAAGTGGATTGAAAAAAAAAAATAAAGAAGTGGATTGGGGAGCTGCCAACTGCTAATGGGAGTGATTATAGCCAGTCTTTGAGTCTCCCCTAGGGAAAATACAGGCCAGCAGCTAACATGGAAGCTGGCCCAAGACTGGCCCAAGTCAATGAAGCAACTGAAGAAGCAAAAGCAGCTGATGAAGCAAAGAACTTGGACTCCTGAGAGAACACAGGAGACCCTGCCCACTCACACACACTCCTGGCCCTCCCCTCACAGGTACCTTTGTGAGGACAGATTTCCTCCCTGGTTACTTGAATTTCAACTGTCCTGTGAAGTTATTCTATGGATTTCTAGGAAGTGATCTGTCAATCAGGAAGATTAACTTTCTGTAAGAGATTCTTTAGCCCAATTTCATTTAGCCTATAGACCCTAAAAACAAGAACAATAATCACCATGAGAAGCAGGGTGCAGTCTATCACTCTATGGAATTAGTTGGTGGCTGGAATACTGGCGGGAGCACCTCTTTATACTTGGCTGTTTCCAGCCTCTTCTGTATCCCTCCCCCACCCCCCAACCCCCTCCACACACAGCCTTTGCTTCAGCCTGGAAAGGGATTAGCAAAGGTATAATAAGGATATGACAGAGATAGCTTGGCGTGGTGGCACACACCTATAATTCCAACTACTTGGAAAGCTGAAGTGGGAGGATTTGAAGTTCAAGACCAACCTGGGCACCTTAGCAATACCATTCCAAAATAAAAACAGCTGAGGATGTAGTTCAGTAGTAGAAATCCCCTGTGTTCAATCCTCAATACTAGCAGGGAAATAAAAAAGTAGCTGGGTGCAGTGACAGGTCCCTGCAATCCCAGCAACTTGGAAGGCTAAGGCAGGAGGATTATAAATTGAAGGCAACTTTGCAAGATCCTGTCTCAAAAAATAAAATAAAATGGATATGTATCTCAGTGATAGAATAACCCTGGGTTCAATGTCCAGTGCTACACACACACACACACACAAAAAAAAAAAAAAAAAAAAAAAAAAAAAAAGATGTGACAGAGATAAGAGGCCAGAAGACAAAAAGTCATTCTCATACCTAAAGTAAATGTAAACATCCCATAACGATCTAGAAAAGGAAAGACACAGTTCCTGAGCACCTTGTAAACACCTAGGGCTGATGCTAGATGGCTTACATTCAATACCTGGAAGCCTAGAGTCAGAGAGGTAAAGCAACTCACTCCAAGTCACACAGCTAGTTAAGGGCAGAGTTAGGCTTAGATGCAGACTTGTGACTCAACTCAGTGCTTTCACCAGCTATAACTCTCCTTCTCACAAACCCAAATGACAGCAGCTCATAGGCATCCAGGGGACAGGAACAAACGAAGCAGGTTATCAATCCAAAACCATTTCCCTAAGTATCTGTTAAGTGTTGGGCACTAGACAGGGCTCCTTTAGTGACACAATATTCTTGTCCTCCTAGAAGTACAAGGTCAGTGGCTCACCACTTTCCTGAAGCAGAAACAGACCAGGAGGGAGGAGAGGTGTCCTGGCCAGCTCAACAGTACAGAAGCCTCAGGGAACAGAGCCTTTCCTAGGACCAAGCCATGGTCCCTTCCTTTCTAATCCATTCTCTGGTCATCGTCAATGCCTCTCACCCTCAGAACAAGAGGAAAGGACAGGACCAAAGGGGACCATCCAAGGGTGTGTGGAGCCCACAGATGCTCCCTGAGTGAACATAAGAGGAGAAAAGACACAAGCTGAGTTCTCTGGCTTAGAGTCACACAATCACCATACACTGTGGCTCAGGAAGAGGGAACCCAGCGGGGGACGAGATGAAGAAGAAGGAGTCTGCGAAGCTTCAGCGTCTGAGGAACTTGAAGCCTCAAAAATACTGTGTGAGTTCTGAAAATAGGCACCACGTCTCTCCAATTCAGAGCTCTCTGGTATGCCCTGAGCTACTCCCTGGATGACTCACAGTGATGCCACCACCCACAGGGACAAAGAAGAAGCCTCTGCATCAGTGGCTCCACGTGTCAGCCCCTGAGCTAGGTGCTAGGGTTCCAGAGTCTTAAAAAGAAAAGTTAAAGGCAAGTTTTTCCTAAGAGGGAAACATAAGCAATAACACACAATAAAGTATTCTGACATTATGACCAAGTTGTACACGGGGTCCAGAACAGGTACAGATATGAGAGGGACAGTAAAGCCTTTGCTGGTGAGAGGTGTGCTGAAGGACAAGAAGACACTGAAGTTCATACAGCAGGTAGGGATGGGGGGAGCATTCTAGAAGCCAGATGAAGAAGGTCGGGTGTGGGGTAGCAGGCCTTCGTGCTGGGATTTGAAGGACAAGGAGAACACACAATGAAAGGCTGAAGAATGGGGAGGGCCACGTCACAGTGGGCCATGTCTGCCTGGCTGAGTTTGGGCTGCATTCAGAGGGAATAAGGAACTCTCAGGAACAGAAATGTAATGTGATCAGACCTGCATTTTAGTAAAAGTGCTTTGCAGTCGAGCACGGTAGCCCGCACCTATAATCCCCAGCAGCTCAGGAGGCTGAGACAATAGGATCATGAATTCAAAGCCAGCCTCAGCAACTCAGCAAAGTGAGACCCTGTCTCTAAAAAAAAAATTCCAAGAAAGGGTTGAGGATATGGCTCAGTGGTTAAGCGCTCCTGGGTTCAAACCCAGGTACCACACACACACACACACACACACACACAAATGCTTTATAGAAATGGAGAGGAAATGGAAAGGAAATGGAGACA